TATTTGTGCAATTTAAAGAATAAGACGCAACACCTTTGCAAGCACTCCCTAGTCCCTGACAGTCAGCACCAGGACCTCAGATGCCCCTTATGACCTTCCCCCAAAACTCTCCCCTCCCCGACAAGGTAATTCCAATGCGGAGTTATGTGTTTATTTTGTCCTTGTTTTTCTTTTCAACACATATCACTTTTCTCTGAATAATATGCTTTTTAATTTTGCCTCTTTTTAGTCTTAATTTGTGGAATCACATTGTATATAATCTGCAACTTTTTCTACTCACATATGAGAACCATCCACATTGACACATGGCTACAGAGAGACACTTGGAGTTTATTTTTCACTGCTGTATAATACTCCATTGGTGGAGTACAATAGGTTTATTATCCACTTTTCTGTAGATGGACATTTGGGTTGTTCTGTTTTTTGCTCATACACACCTCCTGGTGCTCAGATACAACAGAATACAGATCCAGGGTAAGACTGCTGGATCACAGGCTAGGCACATCTTCAGCTTTACTAGGTAACACCAAGCCAACACAAAAGTGCTTGTACAAACTCATGCTCCTACCAGCATGGAGGACCCACTGTGCCACATAAAAACATCACTGTTATTAACTTGTTAACTTATCCCCTAACCACTTCTCAAAGCAACAAGCCAGCATGTGCCACATAGGCAAGCGCCCACTCCAATGTGATCTACATGTGTTAGGTATGTATGCACCCTGGAAAAAGCCTATGATGTTGCTTGTGGAGTGTGTAACTTTTTAATGTATGTAAGTAGCACGTGCTATAGAGAGTGTTGTTTTCTGTATTTTTCACTCCACTCAGCGTTTTACAAAACATACCCATGTTGCTCCATGGGTATTAGAGACAGGATGACATTTTATCTTTAAGATGGGTATGCCACCCTCATTTTATAGATCAAAGTGATAGTTCACAATTGTTTAGTACTCAGCGGGGTCTAAATGTACTAACTCATTTAATCTCGCACTAACCCTGCAAAACAGATGCTTCTGTTTCATGTAAAACAAGACCAAGGCACAAAGAAACTAAGGAACTTGTACAAAATCACCAAGTTAGTAAACGTCAGAGCAGAATTTGAACTGAGCCAGAATGTGTTCTTATCCGTGACATGCAACTGGATAAGAACGCAAAGCTTGGAGAATTTTCGTGACCAGCATCTCTAGGATTCACAGCTGGTGCCCCATGGAGCAGAACTAACATACAGATGGTTCCCCTCTCAGTCCAGTCCTCATTCCATCAGCTCCAAAATGTGTATTATTTTACATGAGTAGCTGGTGAACAACAAAGGGAATTAGTTAGTCCTCTTCAGCAAATGTTTGTAAACGAAAATATTACAGAGACAGAACCCTTTTTAGGAAATGCAATCATGTGAATTTAAAAAAGCTTTATCAGAAATAGAATTAATTACAAAAATATTTATAGATCCTAAGAAAATGGATTTGCTTTTTTTTTTTTTTTTTTTTTGTCTGCTGAGGATCTGAGGATAATCACCCAGTGGATCTTTGGTTGTAACAACTCTACCCCTTCACAGAGTTGTATCTTCACACACACCTAACATGCTAAGAGTAGATCTGCATGATACATTAGTTAGAGTAATTTCTGTAATTAAAAAAAGTACTTGGTCATGCCTGTAATCCCAGCATTTTGGGAGGCTGAGGTGGGAGCACTGCTTGAGGCAAGGAGTTTGAGACCAGCCTGGGCAAGATAGTGAGACCTTGTCTCTACAAAAAAATTAAAAATTAGCTAGGTGTAGCAGCGCACACCTGTAGTCCCAGCTACTCAGGAGATTGAGGCAGGAAGATTGCTTGAGCCTGGGAGGCAGAGGCTACAGTGAGCCATAATCATACCATTGCACTCCAGCCTAGGCAACAGAGCGAGACCATGTCTTAAAAAAATAAATAAAAATTAAAAAATAAAGGTACCTGGAACAGCCTGCAAAGAAAGGGAAATCAAATTATGTTTAGTGACAATTACTATTATCACCGACAGAGAAGCAGCTAAAATAAACATTCTGCTCATTTTGTTTGTAAACGAATTGCCACAATTCTTGCACTATTTAAATCAAGAATATTTAATATTCCATAGTTTTCAACCATCCTTCCTTTTTTATTGTTTCCAGCTCCTTAAACATATAAAAGGGTAAAAGCTATTTGTTCTGGCAGAAAAGAGTCGTCATAAATTGTGCAGAGTGAATTTCTCTCAGATGAAAGGAATGTTCCTCTCCTCCAGGACAGCCTACGGACAGGACTGTGATGACACTCAGAGTCTTCACAAGAATCACATCTGCAGTGTTAAGCCACTTCTGTGGAAAACTCAAGTCCTTCTCAGATAACAAAAACATTTTAGTAGCAATGAACCAAAAACAAAATCTTCCACTATATACGTTAATACATCAAGAGGAACCATTCATGTGCCATTTATAAGAACTTCCTTCCCAGAAATCATAGCAGCATTTCTCAGCCCAAAGCCAGAAACTTCTCGCACATGAAATTTTACTTCAAAAACTCCCACATCAGGCATTTTAATGAATCGGTGGAAGAAAATCATCCTACCAACTTTGTTGTCAAGAATCCCAAATTCATATGCAAAAAAAGAATTACAAAAATAATTATTCAAATTCTAATAAGTGAAATTTTGATAGGTATATAAAGGAAATAAACATCTTTAACATAATTCCACCTCCCAGCCAGTATCAGCTATTAGTAACCACACTTCTTATTGCCAGTTCATCTCTCCAAACACACAGAAGCCATGTGAGTTGAAATTTATTTATTTATATTTTTTTGAGACGGAAGTCTAGCTCTTTCGCCCAGGCCGGACCGCAGTGGCACAATCTCGGCTCACTGCAAGCTCCGCCTCCCGGGTTCACGCCATTCTCCTGCCTCAGCCTCCCGAGTAGCTGGGGCTACAGGCGCCCGCCACCGCACCCTGCTAATTTTCTATATTTTCAGTAGAGATGGGGTTTCATCGTATTAGCCAGGATGGTCTCGATCTCCTGACCTAGTGATCCGCCTGCCTCAGCCCCCTAAAGTGCTGGGATTACAGGCGTGAGCCACCGCGCCTGGCCTGAAATTTATTTTTAAAAAACTCTCAGACTTATGGTTTCTCAAAATTATATTTTATATATTGACATCAACCAATATGATGATATTATATACTGACATCAACCAATATGATCAACCAATATGATGATAATAAGATAAAGCAGAGCCGAAATCACAGTTCATTCCTGAAATCAAATACAGAACATTTCTACCAACACACATTTTCAAAGATGGTGTTTTCAGGTTTGTATGGGATTGTTTCAGCTTTATGAATTAGCTTTTTAAAACCTGCAATACTTTCTTGCTGACTTCATCATTTCCTTCTGGTTGCCTGGAGGGGTGGTGTGGAATGCCAATGAAATGAATTTTAGTCGCCGTCCCTCACATTCTGAACTATAGAAGATATTTATTGTCTCAACTTCCCCGTGAGCTTTCCTTTGCATTATGCAGCTTCATGGTCAGCAGACCCTAAAAATTCAAGAAAGTCTTTCTCCCACTTTATGTGTGTAGCATAGACACACTGATCAAATATGTTCCCAGCACTTCTGGAGAAACCTTATCACATCCATGAGAGATTTGCCACTTGCATTTTTTTTTTTTTTGACAAACACAACCATCATAGCCCAACAAAACATCACACAGAAATCAAATTATACTGTCCCCATGAGCATCTGCTCCTCTATGGCCTTGGGCAAAATTTAGAATCCTCAACATCCCGAGAGTTAGCGCAACCTCTGAAACTGCAGGAGCACCCACAAAGCTCAAGGAATGCACGGAAACTCGTATTACTTCCAATTCCATTTTCAAAGAAAGTAAATGTGTACGCATGTGAGCTGCACATGGTCCAGAATGCCTCGTCAAATGTATTGCTTTAAAATGTGTGTACGTCCATGTGTAATTGTACATGTGGGATTTTGAAAGGCTTTTTATATTTTATTCAAAAAGATACATTTTTCAATACCACAAACTTTCCTTTCAATTATAAGCCCTTCCCATTTTCAATTAACGTTTTAGGCAGGGAATATAAATTAGTAAAACCAACCACACCGCTTAGGGAAAATGAATTAGCATGCGGAAAGTGAAGAACTGGCCGTGCAGTCAATTACTTTAGCCAGCATAGATAGAGTTGAACTAACCAGCACAGGTGTAGACAGCCTGTTTGGATAAGGTAGCTTAAGCCCTAATTTTTTCTGCAGTCTTTATTTGTGTCAAGTATATGAAAACTACCATCTCATTTCCTCCCTGTAGCTATTACCCACAGGTATGTGTAGTGTCAAAATAAATGGTCAGAGTCCTCTCAGGGACCTCCCTTGGCACAAGTCTCACTTCCTCACCTTCTCACCTCCAGAGCCTCAGGAAGTGCAGGTCAGAAAGCAGGCAGGGCAGCTGTGAGGTGATGGAGCGCTGAAGTGTCAGCGAGCCCAGATAAAACAACGTTCCAGTATCGGAAATCCAACCATTCACCCTCTTGTCTCCTCCTCGCTAACCCCAGGCAAGTATAAAGGAGACGGAATTAACATAGAAGTTAGAAGAATTTGGATGTGATTTCATATATTAACTCAGCAAATTTTTTTCTGAAAAGGTCCAGACAGTAAATATTTTCAGCTGGCAGGCCATATGGTCTTTGTCGAATCTACTCAACTGTGCCATTATGGAGTGAAGGCAGCCACAGATGATATGGAAATGAATGCATGGGGCTGTGTTCCAATAAAGCTTTCTTTATGGACACTGAAATGTAAATTTCATGTAATTTACACATGTTATGAAATACGCTTCTTTTGATTTTTCAACCATTTAAAAAAGTAAAAACCATTTTCTTAGCTCCTGGGCTGTGTTGGCTGACCCCTAATTAACTGATATGTGGGCTGCTATCCATGAAAATCTAGGCGCAGAGGAAGGCAGAACTGGCTTCCCGGCCAAGACAGGACTTACCTTGATATGAGCTGCTGGGTCCGGGACAGTCTGAATCATGTCCTTCAATAAGCCAGCCCATCTACCAGCTGTTCAGAACCTGACGGCTAGAAGACAAAAGGAACAACATAAATAATAATAAACAACTGCATTTCTGTGTTTTATGTTCTAGCAGGACTGGACACAATAATGGCAGAAGAATCATAGCTTTGCGTTAAGCATGTTTGCCTAAAGGCATCCTCTAGGTATGTGTGGTCCGTGAGGTAACTAGATAACTCACCTCCCTTCCCTTGGGAAAATCACTTAAAATGAGCCCAAAAGAACCCTAGTCCGACAGGCCAGAAGAATCTAGCTCAACCTGACCCACATCACATGCAATATTCACACATCCTTCCACATGGGCAGGACCTAATGAGGGATCTATTAAAGGAAGACATGAGATTAAAACAGGACATACTTCTCTATCATACTGAGAAAACAGGACTTTGAAATCCCACCAAAACTCAGGCGGTCTGCACGTCCTTTTCAGCTTTGTTATTAAGTTCTTAGTAAACAGCACAGCTCCCGTTCATTGAGTACTTTAGCGCCAGTTCCTTGAGTGCTAAGGGCTCCACACACATTTTCTCATTTCATTCTGACCACGACTCTGAGAGTTGTCATTCCCACTGTCCAGCTGCGGATGTCAAGACTCATAAAGGTTACTGATTTGTCCAGGATCACCTGGTTAATAAGCGACAGAACCAAACCTCAAATCAGATTAGCCTACCTGACTCCAGAGCCCAAAACCATTTTGGTTTGACTTAATTAGCAGGTATCAACCCATATTTTGAAGGGACATTTTAAAACATGCCTTAAATAAATTAAATTTAAAGATGCCTATAATCCAGGAATTTTCCAGAAATAAATACTTAATCCAATATATTCCCTCATTTGAATTATAAAGCAGCTTGTTCTGACCGTTGTCTGTGCCCCTCCGCTTCCACCAAGCCAGTCTCCAGCCTCCTTTGCTGTCCCAGGCCCTAGGGCTGACCTCTACAGATGGGCTCAGCAGGCGCCTTGCCTCCTGGCCACCTGTCAGGGTTGGTTGACATGGCCCCATCTGGAGAGCAGGGGTGAGAGGAGAGGGGGTACCTCTTCCCCTCACCTTCCCACCACCAACACCTGCTGCCCAGCCTCCCTGGGCGCTTGGTTACGGTTCTGACTGCGGCTGGATTCTAGGGAGACCTCTTCCATCATGCAGCCCCTCCTTCCAGGCTCCAGCCTCCAGTAACTGGTCCCCAGCCAGTCTCTGGTGCTCTGCAGATCTCAGCCAAGCCATCAGTTGTCTTTTTGATACTAAAAAGGCCTTTTTTAGTTTACATTTGTAGAAGCCATCACTTGCTTTTTATCACCTGTATTTTTTGTTTGTTTTCTTCTTTACAATGGCTCTTTGCCGTAACAAATGCAAAATAAAAATACTATGATTACGGAACTAGAGACATTTTCAAAAGTTGTCTTTCAAATTTGCTACTAAGCACATTACTCTAGGGACAAGTGAAGCGTTCACAGGAGTCCTCCCCACATTCACATCCACCCTTTCTGACGTCTCACGGTGCAGACACACCCATTCCAACCCAATCGCCTCTCGTGGAGAGTGTCAACCTCCAGATCTGCGTGCTCCACGTCCGTCCTCCCGAAACGTCTCCCTGGAGGCCTCCCAAGATTCTTTCAGGAAGATGACATGCTGGGAACCTTAGGCATTTTTTTTTCTATAACCAAATTTCTAGGTCTTGGAAAACAGGTACTTTCCCCCCCAGGCCTAAAGTAAGTCCCTCTGGGGGATGAGAGTTACTGAAAGTGCGGAGGGAGTGACGAGCAGTCCTGAAATTGAACCAGGAAGCAGATGAAGGTGACCCAGGCTCCTGGTGCTCTCGTGGGAGAAGAGGCTGGGAGAGGATGGGGTCTGGTTGAAGGTTTCTGGGAGCACAGGAATCCTCAACTCCCCTTATCCTAAGAGCAGCAGGTGCCCCAGGAAAACACCACTCTGCTCCTGGGGTCATGCAGTCAGGAAGGGGAGCATCTGCAAGCCGTCCTGACAAAGGGAGGGCCGCCCACTGCACGACCCTGCTCTCGGGAGCACATGGCTATTTCCGTATGTCTGGGCGTGCTCTCTGGGTGAGTTCACTCCGCACAGTTCCTCCCTGCTTGCATGCACATGCTGCCGCTCACAGCAGGGGCTGAAGCTCATCTCCCTCCCCTCAAACCCAGGCTGACCTGTGGCTGCCTCTGACCTGGAGAACACAGCAGAGGAAAGGCTTCAGGAGTCCCAGGCCTAGGCCTTTATGGAAATGTGAGCTTCCCGTTCCTGCCTCCTGAAACCAAGTCCCCATACTGTCAGCAGCACAGCACATGGCAGAGGACTGGGTGCCCAGCGGGGCAGCCAGCACCAATGCCAGGCCTGGGAGGGGGCTGTCCTGGACAGTCCAGAGAACCATCTCTCAGATGACTACGGCCCCTGCCAACATCAGGGAGGCAGTTTCCAGCTGAGTCCAGTCAGCCCACAGAATTGTGACCAATAATAAATGGGCTGTTGTACTAAGCTGCTAGGATTTGGGGTAGTTTATTACACATACAGGTCATCGAAACACCCTGTAAGTGTTCTAGAGGCATGGAGAAGACAGAGGGTAAATAGCTTGTTTCACTGTCACAATGGATGAGTACCAAGATGGTTCCGACACTCAACTTCTCCTGTATCCATGCTTTTTGCCACATAACTTTGTGATTCTTCCCACTAAAGAGGTAGAATTACTTCCCAACCCTTATTTTTGGGCTGCCCATACGATCTGCTTCAGTCAACAGGATGTAGCAGAAAGACAAGCATGTCAGGTCCTAGCTGAAGCCTCAGGAGGCAGGATGTGTTCCCCTTTGCTTTTCTGTAACTTTCCACCAGCATAGGAACATGGCCAGATGCATGCGGGAGGATGAGAAGTACCTGGGGCAGAGTCACCCACCCCAATCACCCCACCAAGACTACCTTTGATCATCCCATAGACAACCAAAACCCCAGACATGGGAGGGAAGCAACGAGACCAGCCGCTAGCCAGAGCCAACCAGAATGGCCAACCCACAGGCTCATGGCTGAATAAGTGCTTACTGCTTGAAGTCACTGAAATTTGGGGAGTTTGTTACACAGCATTTTTGTGACAATAGATTACTGACATACACTTTGCCCTGTATAATCGGATTACTGAGATTGTCGTTAAAACTTTTCTAGCCAGTGATAAAAGGAGACTCAAACAGGGCATTTCAAAGGAAACCAACTTTATCCCAACACAGAGACATATTATTTCCATTCACCTATGAGACATGATCTCAAACCCAAATCCTACCCTCAGAATGGGTTTGGAAACTGAAGGATAACCAAGAAACCTCCACCAGACGTCTCCATGGGATTCCCAGAGCCCTTCCCAGGAGCAACTGAATTCTCACTTCACATCATGCCCTGTCAGCCTCCCCGGGATTCCAAAGATCGAATCAACACCCTTGGATATCCAAGACCGCAGCCAACACCATAGAAGTTACAGCAGACACTCAGTCTGTAACCAACCAAGACATAAACTTAACAAGCAACTGTTTGAGTCTCTTGTTTCTTATGGGGATGTTTTGAGCACTCAGGATGCATTAAGGATAAAATGACAGGGAAGGGAATAGATAGAGATTCCAGAGGCAACACAGTCCCGATCCTCGAGGATGAGATGGGAAACAGATCTGTTTCACACAGATATGAACCGGTCAGTCCTGAGAGCAGGCAGTTAGTGGAGGTGCCCAGTGAGGTGTGTGGATATACCTACAGGAGAGAGAGAGCTGATTCATGCAGAGACAAGAGGGTGCCACCAAGGAGCCTTGATGAGCAAGAAGCATGAGGACTGGAGGAAAGAGGGTGAAAGGCACAAAGCAGGGAACCTAAGTTCCTCCCAGCTGCCCCACATTAAGAGACTGATGACGTATGAGCTCCTCAGACCACCACCACCGGAGTGGTCACACACCAAAGGGATTTGCTCAGCATGCAGCATGATGGCACTGCCATCCTCCACACCAGGTCAGTGAAAACCCAACAGACCTAAAGACCAGGAGAATAAAAGCTCAACCACCCTCCCCTGCCTCCTCAACCCGCACGGATCTCTGATTCTTTTTGCAGCCATCTGGGTGCCTGTTCTTTTTTACCATTTCAGAAGTATTTTATGGATTTTTTAAAGAGCACCTCTTATTTACTTTTGTGTTCCTAATGGTCATTTCTCAAATATGTAGTAGTTGGTAGCAAAACAAACTAAAACTGTACTAAAAATTTTTAGGGCCAGGCGCGGTGGCTCAAGCCTGTCATCCCAGCACTTTGGGAGGCCGAGACGGGCGGATCACGAGGTCAGGAGATCGAGACCATCCTGGCTAACACGGTGAAACCCCGTCTCTACTAAAAAATAC